AATAAATAACAATAATAATAATAATAACTTTTAATTGAGAAAAGCGCACGAGTTGTCGCTTACAAAAGCAAACATAGATGCCGTGTTGTGTATTGGATCACAACATTAATCTGCAGGGGTGGTGTGCCTCTTGCAATTGCCTACAGTGCAGTGTAAAGATTTGATGAGGAATGGAGAATTCCCTTCCTTCATGGATGAGGAATGTATGGATGTTTGTTTCATGTCATTGTTGATTTGTAGGTTTTTTTAAGGAACGTCGAAAACCTTTTCTGTGGAGTCCAAAGCTACCCCATATACGCATGATTGTACATGTACATGTACATTCCCTGCTCCCCCATTGCAGGAAATGGCCCTGTTCGTTGACTTGCGAGGTTAACTTAAGATATCGCAGGGTGTGCGGGCCAAGGCTCACAGACAAGTTGCTGCACAGGGGTCAATTCTTTTCCCTGCGAAATGTGGTGAAAGTTTTCCATATATCTTTCCATTATGGCATTTTGCATCAGGTACCTTTCAATGCGCGCATGTTTCAGCTCACCATGTGTCCGTTCGCTTATTGCGAGGAGGTTTCGGTGAAACGGCAGTGGATTTAACCACCATAAACTGACGCGGACACGGGCTGGACCTTGACATGTGCCTGGAGAAAGATGCTTATCTTGACAGTCACCCGGTGTATGTGTTCTGTTAGATACATGGTTGTCCCCAATCCCTCGCCTGAATGCAATATTCGTACGAATAGGGCCTAGAGGATAAAATTCCTCACCGTGTATTGGGTAGTTACCATGCTTGTCTACTAAACATTACGAACACTTTATATCAAATTTTGTTGTAGGTATAATAGACATATCCGAAGCCTCATTACGACACTTTGACCCAGCCCTCGTGTATGGCCTTGATGGTGACGATGCTTTGATAAAGCATGAAGCATTCAACAGGCACCTTGATAACGACATTGCCCTTTTACGGTTGAGTCGGAATGTCACATTCAGTCCCAGCGTGAGACCCATTTGTCTGCCGCAACCTACTATGCAAGGTGAGAAAGTCATGCTCATAAACATATACACAAATAATCTTGATGGAAACACTTCCAATACAGGCGATTTACAATAGCCTCCAAGCGTTTGCAACCGTGACGCGTTCAATGGCCAATCACGATGCGCGAAATCTGTCCTCCCAGAGCGCGTTTGGAAAGGGTCGACAGATTTCTCGCGTTGTGATTGGCTAACGGGTTACAAACTCTTGGAGGTGCAATCGCCGTATTGCAATTCTTGCAGTCCCTCACAGCTGTACTTCACCTTGAATTATCATTTTGTAGTGAAAGGTATGTGAAGGAATGGATGGACATGTATTTCCATAGGTCTCAGCCACTCACAAAAGACCGGAAGACTATTATAGGTCAACATAATAGTAGGAATGAGAAAATTCAGAGAAATTTCCCTGGTGAATGCTCCATCTTTTTCCTTACTTTCGTTTCGTAACGTTAACCACTCAGGCACGCTCTTTCGAAAACAATACTGCTAGCGTATTTAAAATGGAGAACCCCCCACGAAAAAAATGGAAGCATGACTGAAAACAACTTATGTCTTCATTCGAAGATAGGCCTGTTTCCCTTATGTTGGGAAATAGGAAATGAAACAGTTTCTCATGTATGAAACTCGTACCCTTCCGATCTGGACCATTTTCATACTTTTCACTGGGGTTTCAGTACCGAATGTTGCTGCAAAAACTTGCAGACAAGGTAACACGTGTACAATGGGGGAATTTTAAACAAAAATGCGAACTGACCGAAACTCTTGCTTTTATCGTTACATATTTCTCTCCCGTTTGCAAAAATGGAAATTAAGCATTCTCCAACGGATAAAAGTAAGCGTAGAGATAAAAACTAAGTAATAACAAAAACTCCAGGTTGCACTCAGTTAACAAAATATCCAAATATCCTGTAGGCCCTACGTTTTGGTGGATTGAGGCACGAGTATGTATGTATGTATGTATGTGAAAAAAAGACAGTGGTTTCAATTACTTTTACTGTGGGATTTTTGTAGATACTGAGCTTTACTCAACGAATGGAGCGGCGTACGTGGCTGGCTGGGGGTCCACAGATCCCTACGACACAGATGGGGACTGTCGGGTTTCCACTTACCAACCAACCTCGTTGGTGCTTAAGGAACTTGCTATTCCTGTGCACACGGATCGAGAATGCAGGGACAGCATACAGAACCACTTTAGGTGTAGCATTGCGACTGCCTACAAGCCTGCCATAGCATTCTGTGCTGGCTATTCAGAGGGGAACCTGGACATATGCAACGGGGACTCAGGCGGGCCTGTCATGAGACAACTGAGGGCGGCAGACGGCAGCAGGCGATGGGTCCAGATTGGCATTGTCAGTTGGGGAGAGGGTTGTGCTCAAGAGGGTCGATATGGGATCTACACGAGACTCTCAGCGTACAAGGAATGGATCCATGATCACATTGGCGCTGGGGAATCACCCATCCAGATCCACGAACACACTAGTGGTATGGCCATGGGTAATGTTGAATCGTACAAATCAATGTACTGAGGCTGAGATGAGGTTCAACCCGCCAAAATTAGCACCTATCTTGGGGTTTGGTAACATTTTCTTACCTATGGCAGGAAATTTTTGTCATTAAAATTTTTTGTAAAGAGTTTCATGATTAAAAAAAAAGTATCTCTGCCTTTTATGTTAGAGTGCATCGAACCATGCTCAAACCAATGCAGTACGTACCGACCACTAGAATAATGACAGCCCCTTTCAATTCTCCCATTTGTGAAGACTTCATGACCCAAATGGCTCCCATCTTTAGAACCCTACTCCGGATTCCAAGGGAAATTTGACCCCTGTTGCGCTATTACTGCACTCAAAAAGATTTTACGCCTTTCGAACAAACGCATCGCCAACGTTGCCCATGGAAGGCCTTGTAGACGCTTAATGGCGGCAACCAACCTGGTTCCACGTGATTAGCATGCTCTATTTTTAGCATTTTAAGCATGACACCTTAGCTTAAGTTCGACATTAACGATAGTGGACCAGTCACCTGGATCCGTTATTTTCGTCAGCAAGCGCGTCAAAGTTCCCCGTTGAGTTTGTTACAGGTAATATTTCCTGGTATGCATTAGATTGGTTGCACTCTCGAATGATTCTAAGCGCAAAATCTATGGAGTGGATGTTTCTTTTGATGTTTGTCCTTGGCGTTTCTGTTTGATGAATTAAAAGTTTTGCGATGGTTTTGTGTGTTCCTTCCTGCTAGCTCATGAATGCCCTCGGATAAAGATTGCAGAGCTAGACCCCAACCTGAGTCTGGCGGCGGACGGAGGAAACTCTCCAGGTTCCGTGGTGGAATTTGTGTGTCGATCAGGATTTCATCCGTTGGGGGAAACGACCCTCACGTGCCAGGCTGGGAGCTGGTCCCATCCGTTCCCAACTTGCAAAGGTAATTTAGATTGGAGGCGATGGGAGGCCATTTTAAAAGTGCCATCGTGCATAGTTTTTAATGCATGTGAACGTTCCATTCATGCAAGGCCAAAACAACATGAAGTCTGAGACATCACATCCAACCGTTTTAGTGATCAGCTATTCTTTTTGTAGGAAGCAGAAGCACCCCAGAAGCACGCCGCGTTGCTCGCGAGTAATCATTTTGTTGTTAGCGATGCGACCGCAACGTTTGCGTTTCCTAGTCGTTCGTGAACCAGCGACGCTCAAGTTAGTACCAAAGGAACCTCCTTTGTGCAGGAAATAGCCCCCTCTCTTGGTCCAGATCAAAGTTCATTGGAAACTAAACCTTCTAGCCCAGAAAATAATTAGGAACAAACATTTAATAAATTTTCGTCTTTCCGATGAATAGATCTCAACGAGGGCAAATTTTGCTTCTGTACACCCGGAAGCTATGCATAGAGTATGCATATTTACAGGCAAGTTCGAGCGACAACTATAGTCAGCTATGAAGTACCGAAGTGAATACATGTACGTCACGTGCATAATGCTTGTAAAAGGCATTAGTGCGAGAAAAAGCGCGTGAACCAAGGCGCTTGTATTTCATTCGTTTGCACTACACTTACCGATTCAAAATGACATCACACTTCAGTACTCTATATATTTCGACTAACATCGCCCGAACGATGGATGGTTTGGACTATCTAACCGAGCATTTGGGACCAGGCCCCAGGTCATGGTGGCACTGCTGGTTATCAATAACCTATTTCAGTTTTAATTGCGGAGGGAACCATTCAAGCGAAATGATCGTACGAGATTTCAATGACCATGTACGCTGCGAGATTCGCAGCCAACGGCGACATAATTATGCGTAACGATGAGATTTTAAAAAATAGGCCGACTATAGTCGTTCGAGTGTAACTGAATTGCGTGTGCGCATTTTTGAAATAGCATCTGACTACTGCTCAAACTATAGTTCGCGCCCAATCTCGCCCATAGGTAAAAATGAGGTTCAGAAAGGGGGATTCGCTTCTTACTGACAAAAGTGTTTGAATTGGAGAGGGCGTATTTTATATGGTAACGGCTATCCCTTGGTAGAACTCATCACCGTATGCACGTGCAGGTTAATTCGCGTTTGACGGGGGGTTCGCTGACCGCACGCTGCCAGTTTATATTGGAATAATTATGTAAATATCTGCCTGTGTGCTGGGATATGCACGAGCTCGGTTAAACTTCCAACAGACTGTCTCTGCCGTGCAGAGAAAAGCACACTTTTATCTGTGGCAACTACAGCACTCGATAGATCCCTGCACACGTGTTTAGTGTCAACACCTCGAATTAAGAATTTGCCCAAGTGCATGATTCGAACTGGCGATGGACGATAATTATCTACGGGACTGTAAAGTCCTGCCTAGAATTGGCTCAAAGGGAATCATGGTTGACTATATCACAGAGAGTTGATTTCTTAAAAACAAAATTTGTGATCCAGTTAGGAACTTTGTTTGAATCTGGGCCTCTTTATGATACCTTCTAAATGAAACGCCTTATTTTCCAGACTACTCGCCATGCGGATACAACAAACGCCCAAGCGACCGGCGTTCGCCAAGAATAGTTGGCGGAGAATTTTCTGAGAGTGGTAACTGGCCCTGGCAAGTGGCTTTGTTCTGTGATCCGAACATTGCAGGATGTGATGACTGTGTGGTAGGCATACACGGCTTGTTCTTGCAATCGCCCCATGTGACAGCCAGCATCATTCTTATACACTTCATTTCAAAATCGGCAGTGATTTTACCATAACAAGCTTGTCACAAATAGTCAAGCACCCGTTTGTTTTCGTTCGGGCATCTGATCCGAGCATCCCAACGACAGGAGCACATGATCTCCAGATAGAAAAGACAGCCTTCAGCACTGATCACAGTATGGCCTATGCACATACACACAGTATTTTCCCGCAATTTACAGAATTTGACCGTCCACACTCCATAGGGTATATGAAAAAGACTGAAGACCAGCTCCGTAAAGATCGATGATTTCACAGCTCTACATACATTCTCTACATGTACTTGCAGCCCACGTTTTTTTGCGGTGGCAGCCTCATTGCTCGTAAGTGGGTCCTGTCTGCAGCGCAGTGCTTCAGAAGGTGTGATGTGGGTGACATCCGAGTATATACAGGTAATATAAGGTTCAGATGATGAATTTAACTGATGTGAAGAAAATAGCGGCTTTTGGAATTTCTACAACTTGACAAAAGGTTCTGTTTTGTTTGTGTAACCGAGGTTTCAGCTGATAAAGGAGCTTCAGTGTAAAATTTATCTAAAATAACTGTCTATTGTCTGCACCCTTCATGCGGTCGTCAAAGAATTGTCCTCCGCCAAGTAAGGGGCTGGTTCAGTTTTTGAAGTAGTGTTGGAGCTTCAGAAACCCAAGTAAATAAACATGCATAATGCAAACAAATAATATGCACACGAGCAAGCATCTCTAATGTGCATTAAGTGACAGACAAGCACGGTGGGAAGTTCTTTCATGACAAAGTTCTCTCTACAGTAATCTCTTGGACGAAAAATTTATCACCTTGAGACTTTACGCAATACCGAATTGTCTCGTCTAACGAGTGTTCTTTTTGTGTCCTTTTTTGGTGATGGTTTTGCGAAAGAATGTAACATTTCACAAACTGAACCTTACAGGGAACACAAACAGATGGAGCGCTTTGGTCCAGTGAAGATTCAGCCCCTAGGCCTATATATCGCTTGGGCTTATTATTACGTTTTAATTTGCTGCGGGAAAAAGTTGTATTCGCATAACTTTGCACTTTTGGTGACACCAAACGTAAGGGTCATGCAGCCTGTACCTGAGATCAATCGATTTTCTCAAAGTTAAGTCACAAACGCAGTGTGTCATTTTTTCAGATACTGCCTGGTGTTCCAACCTTGGGTTTCCTTGGTTGGAAATTTTAAAGAACTTTGATTAGTACAGGTCGATGTGATATGTATGCCAAGAGAAATGTCCACCAACACCTTGTTGGACAGAAAAGCAGGAAGCCATGGAATTCTTAACTTAATTTTGCTGTTTGGGGGATATGTGGGTATGTTAGATACTTGTGAGACGCACTAATGGCAGCAAGCATACTTTTAACTCTTTCTTTGTTAGCGTCATGCGCGAGCTATTGTTGGCTGGTTAATTTAAAATGACTTATAAATAGCGATATCGATAGAAAAGGACAATTATGGTATAACTGCCGCACCTGAGCGACCAAAATATCTCCCATTTGGTGAGTGAAGACGCCATGATGACGTCATGTCTTAAAACCGCACGTTTTTCTTATCTAACGAGTACAGGTCCCTTTTTAAACAGACTACAAGCAATTTCTTGTTTGTCTTCACTTTTGTGTCAGCTACATTCAGGTTTTAAGTCTTCATAAAAATGATACTTTCATCACATTACTATTGCGTCCACACACCAGTGTAAGAACATGATTTGTAAACCACTGCTGATGTGAAACAGCATGTCTGTTTGTGCAGAGTTGCAGGTGCCCCCACCAAGCGACTCTCCAATCTTTAGGTTGTTTAAAATATGTACAAAATAAGCTTGGATCGTACGAACGCGTTCAGCCTCGGTTATACAGGCTCCTCTCCAGTATATACGCATTTTCTGGGCTCCTGATGTCCGTATGAACCGAAAGCCGCGCAAATGAAAAATGTTTTTAGTAGGCCTCAGTCTTTGAATCTAGACTGGTACCGGTACTAGTTATACAGTTGTAGTCTCCCAGTGGATATATCATTGTCGTCAACTTCCCGCTAGACCAAACTCCAAGAAAATAATGAAATTACATTTTGTTAAAATACAGATGCCATCATAAACCGCAGTCCACAGTGGAGTCGAGTTTTTGCCTATAGGCCTATGTAATTATATAATATATATGGGCGCCTATGTGAAAAGGATATGGGATAATTGTCTAACTGATCTACTAACAATACTTAACTCTTTCCAATTGTTTTAGGTATAATAGACAAATCCCAGGACTCACTTCTGGAGTTTGACCCGACCAAAGTGTACAACCTTGATGGTGACGATGCTCTGATAATGCATGAAGCATTCAACAGGTACCTTGATAACGACATTGCCCTTTTACGGTTGAGTCGGAATGTCACATTCAGTCCCAACGTGAGACCCATCTGCCTGCCACAACCTAATATGCAAGGTGAGGATAATTACAAGTTCACGTGTAATTATTTGATTTTTAATTGATGTAGGGGTGAGATTTTAAACCCTGTTCTCGCAGCTGAAATTTCACTGGCGTGTATTTGCTGCCCATCACGACTGCACTGCACCCTGAACGTATCATTTTGTGATGATATGTCTGCGATGGATTTGATGATCACGTAGTTGCGTTTTTATGCAGTCACATATTTTATGAAGTACCTGTGGTCACAGATGACAACAAGATTACGAAGGGAACCGATGAAGGAGGCGATAAATTCACATGTAAACTCGATCTGTTTTCTCCTTTCCGAACTGTAGAAGTGTGAATCATCGATTTGGGAATTTCTTATATGCCGTATTGGGAGCTTTGCAGGTTCCAAATAAACCAAAAATGTATGGTCGTAATATTAGGCCTATAGTTTACACGTTTAATCCCCGTACCTTTCACGGGATACAACACTCACATGCGTATATGTGTGAAAATAAAATAACGAATTAAATTTTTTTTAACGTGAACATGCATTTGTAGATACTGAGCTTTACTCGACGAATGGAGCGGCGTACGTGGCTGGCTGGGGGTCCACATATCCTTACGACACAGACGTGGACTGTCTGGATGATACTTACCGACCAACCTCGCCGGTGCTTAAGGAACTTGCTATTCCTGTGCGCACGAACCGAGAATGCCGGGACAGCATACAAGACCACTTTAGGTGTAGTATTGTGGCTGCCTACAAGCCTGCCATAGCATTCTGTGCTGGCTATTCAGAGGGCAACCTGGACGCTTGCAGGGGTGATTCAGGCGGGCCTGTCATGAGACAACTGAGGACGGCAGACGGCAGCAGGCGATGGGTCCAGATCGGCATTGTCAGCTGGGGAGAGGGTTGTGCTCAAGAGGGTCGATACGGGATTTACACGAGACTTTCAGCGTACAAGGAATGGATCCATAATCACATTGGCGCTGGGGAATCACCCATCCAGATCCACGAACACACTAGTGGTATGGGTAATGCTGAATCATACAAATCAATATTTCATGGGGCTCTGGTGGCTGTGAGGAGGTTGCCAGTTTAACAAATGGATACCAGATACCCATGACGCTGTGTCTGAATTAATAGGCTGCGACCTGGAATTACGAACGAGTCTATGGGGCAGGCCGTAGCAGTTCCCATCCAATTGTGTAATATCAGGCCGTGGTCAGGTGGTTCAGACTTCACCTAATAATTTATGACTTGCTTCAGACTGGTTGCAATCTTGAATGATTCCTTACCGGAGCACAGATTAGAGCAATTCGCTACCTCGTGATTGTCCCCAGATGAGGATGAGAAGGTTTTATCCTAAGTGTTCATATCTACATATTTACAGAACTACATATCCAGACAGATTACATGTTATGTTCATGGGCTGTTACAAACGACACTGCTAGTGATATCGTAGCGATGCGTTCATGTGTCGTGACACCATGCTAAAATACCATCATTTGAGGGTAGGGCATGTTACTGGTAGCAATTACACGTGAGCAATTACCTCCAAAAACAATATATCTGCGTTTGTGGGATTCTTACCGCAAGCTCACATGCCGGCGGTAGAACTTTGCATTTCTGTAACACCTTTCTAGCTGGGGAGCCCACATGTCGTGTGCATGCGATACCGTGGTGTTTCATTTGATTTCGAGCAGTGTAAGTAACATCCCTTTTCCCTGTGAGGTATTGGCTGGTATGAATCAGAACAGTTATTACTGCTGCAATACGCAACGAGAGTTTTGCCTCATTGAGCATGCCTGACGACCCCAACTTTTCGATAGGTTTGCATCCCTGAAGTGTAAAAATGCAATGCAGTACATTGTATTTTCCTCTCCTGAAATAAACAACTTGATCACATTTTGCAAAGTATAGCTGGACAAGTCTCATAGTAAAAGCTCTGATATGAAGGTATTACTAGGTAGACCTATAAAAGCAATCTCCACCAGCCAAGCGATCCCTTCCTAGAATTTTCAAGCACAGAAACTTTCACGCATCAATTATTATTCATAGCGGGAGTCGACGCTCCTGAGTCACCTGAGTGCAACTGTGAGGTGTGGCAGGAGTGCATGGACACCAAACGCGATGGGGAGTGGACATGCAGATGCATCCATCCTCAGCACTGCGATGACGTCGTGGGCCAGGAGCAATGTGGAAGTGACGGTCGAACTTATGCCAGCATCTGCAAATTGAAGGCTACAGCCTGTTTGCTGGATTTAGACATTCGGGTCGCCAGCCAAGGACCTTGCCCGGAAAGTAAGGCAAAAGTTGGTTCATTCTTTCTTTAAAGATTTGTTTTCCTCATTTTCATCTGACATTTCATGTGAAATTCCTCTTTTCTAAACACTACTATACTGAACATTCAGCTGTACCGAGAAATCCCTCATCTGATGGATGTTACGGGACCATACTAGGATCTACACAGTAAATGGACCAAATGTAGTTTACCGAGTGGCTAGGGAATTTAAGAAAAATATTAATGTGAAAACGGTTTTGTGGACAAGATTTCAAACTCCAGTGCATGACATTTTAGTGGTACCCCTAATGGATCAAAGACTTCGAACTCTTGAAAGAGGTGGAACAGGGAAGAATTTGTAATTTGTAATTGATTTGAATTGATACTCGGTCACCGTGACAATTTCAGAAAATTGCCAAAATAATATTCATGCTCAAAAACTCACGAGGCTCTTGTGAGGTTTCAATTAGATGCAGTCCTTGCTCATGTTTCGTGCAACAGAGTCTACATTCCTAACTCTCAGAGGAGGTAGCACATAAATTTTACACCCCGTAGATTTCGTGGATAGAGATATGTCGTGGCTTACTTTGACGGCAGGTCCTGGTTTGAAGGATTACAGTGTCTACGAGAGCCCAGAGTCATCTGTCGATCCTGATTTCCTAACAACAGGAGGACAAAACAACGAGAGCGTGCCAACGAGGACCGCCTCTGATCAAGTGACATTCGGTATTTAAAGCTCTTGTGAAAAAGATAATTGAATTATGAGTCTATATAATCAATCCGTTAAGCTATCTGATTGGTGACCCAATGGGCATCTGTGATCATTGACGGCACAAAAATTTCGTAATTAGCGACGCGGGTGAAAATGCAGCATTTATTCTGCCACGGAAACTCTAGTGAGATTTTAAGCTGCGTTCCATATGCAACAAGGAAACTTCCGAAGCAATATGTTAAAACAATCGAAGCAACATTAATGTTTTTTTAATTTGATGCATTGATTTTGACAATAAATTCATGTTGCTTCGTAGACTTTGTATTCCAGGGACGCCAAAAACAATGCTGGATCATTTCATGTCAAATTGAACACTTCCCGGAGTCACCCTCATTTATGTTGTGACATTTTCTGAAATGTTTGGTCATATTGGAAATTTCCCAACCCAAAGTCGAGTGTTTATACTTTATGCAATTTTTTTAGCTTACGTTTGACTCGTATTTTTAAGTAGAGCACCCGAAGGCCCGTCTGTTCGGTTAGGAGTGCCAACAGATTGTTTTGTCCAGACCCAAGCTCATACCCTTTTAAGAATTCGCCTTCTTTGCTAATGTAGAACCAAAAGTTAACATTTCAATATGAGGTCCAGCAAAATCTACTTTGACTTATTAACTCGTTGCTTGCTGCCAAATCCGTTTGTTTGAAATTTGCCTCATGACCAAAGTTTTCTCAGTCTGCTGGCAAAATATGAAAATGGGATCTCAAGGCATTGAAAAGAACTAAAGTCAAAGGCATTCAACTTTACCAATGTATATGTACATATATAATTTGTAAATGTACACATAATATCAAAATTGGTTTTCCTCATTAGAAGATGGAGAGGTATACACGTTTAGCCCGCCAAAAGGTCACACCGAAGGAGGCCATGCATCCGCTAGCCTCTCCAAACCTAATTCAGGCGTTAAACCAAATTATCGCCCCACATTTTTCAGACCGTTTCTCCATCCCACTATGCGAATTTTCTGTCACATGAGCCATTTGTTGCCTGTAAGTTTAGGTATATTTTGCCACTTGTATTGTTGAAATACATTCGTGTCCGCGTAAATGACGAAGAGTTTGAACACGGCGCCTTTTAAAATTTTGACCGATCATACGGCATACTTGTTACTCTTGTTTCCAGATGACTGTGGTTACCAAGAAAACCCTAGACATCGGACTTGGGGAACGATAGCAGGCGGACAGCATTCAGAAGCAGGCCAGTGGCCCTGGCAGGTGGCGTTGTTCTGTCATGTAAACTGCACAAGATGTTTGGTAATTCCACAGTTGCTTGTAGAGCACGTTCGATGAAGACTTTCACGAAAGTAAGAATTGGACACTCACAAATCGAAGATGACTGGATTATTAAATCTCAGTCGATGATTTGTCTTGTTGGTGGTTTTTCGTTTATATGGCGGCGAGGGACAGGTTCTCGAGCCAATTACTTGTCTGCTCTTGTTGATTGAACTTACACTCTTAGTTTAGTTCATGTTATGTGGAAAGATGTAGACCACGCACAACGCCCTTGGACGTCACTCCTTCCTTTGTCACTCGTCAACTTGTCTATTGCACGAAATTAGAGTTCTAGTATTAGCACAGGGCCGTGCCACAGCTCTTCCTGACTTTGGACATATTGTAATCTACCTGCTTGTAGTTTATCACGTATACTGAAAAAAAATGCTGTGTAATTAACCACAGAGCAAACAACATAGCAACGACATTTTTTAGTTAAAATTTTGTTAAAATTGCGTTACAGGCCGCTATAACTAACTGACTGTTTGTTTGTTTGTTTGTTTGTTTGTTTGTTTGTTTGTTTGTTTGTTTGTTTGTTTGTTTGTTTGTTTGTTTGTTTGTTTGTTTGTTTGTTTGTTTGTTTGTTTGTTTGTTTGTTTGTTTGTTTGTTTGTTTGTTTGTTTGTTTGTTTGTTTGTTTGTTTGTTTGTTTGTTTGTTTGTTTGTTTGTTTGTTTGTTTGTTTGTTTGTTTGTTTGTTTGTTTGTTTGTTTGTTTGTTTGTTTGTTGGGGTGTTTGTTTGTTTGTG